TTCATCCTTCATTTTCTTATTTTTTACTGATAGTCTGCTCTGGTACTTCAGTCTTCTATTTTTTCTCTTCTTTTTGTGTTTCTTCTAGTTCTTAAGATTTGCTTTACTCTTTTTGTTTTTTATAATATTCTTTATACTGGTTTTCTTTATAAGTATTCGTCTGTAGCTCTTTTCTTTTTCTAGTTCTTTTTATGCTACTTTAGATTCTTCTACTTCTAGATCTTGGTTAGTTTGTTTGAGTCTTCCTTTACTTTTCTGTCAGAACTTTGTGCTATCTTTCTTTCTTCTACTCTATAGTCTTATATTTCTTCTAATAAGTGTCTTTCAAGATCTTGTATGCTTCTTTTTACTTTTTGGTTTTTCTAAAAACCTTTCTACTGTTTCAGATATGAAGTTTTTCTTTTTTCTTTTCTAATTCTTGACTGTTCGGAACTGCATGTCTGTTTTCTCTTTCTTATTTCATAAGCTTGCTTTTCTTCTGTATAGCTTCTTTTGCAGTTTAAAGTACTTCTCTTGATTTCTGGCTACTTTTCTTATAATTCTTCTTGCTCTTCTAAACCTGGTGTCTTTTTTTTCTTTTTTTAATTCTTGACTTCTATTGTTCTCTCTGTTGCTGCATCTTGTATGGTATTTTCTTCATTTGTACTGATATTCGTTAATGATCTAATTCGTCTACTCCATTCAAGTTTCTTTTTTCTTCTTTTTCTAATCTTTAATATTATTTTGTCTACTTTTTAAGTTTACTTGATATATAAACTCTACTATTCACTTTAGTATTTTCTTTTGTGAGTTTTTGAATTGTATATTGCTAAAATTTTTCTCTTCTATTAAGGTTGTTACCAAAATTCTTAATCTTGATTCTTCGGTTAGTTTGTTTAAAGTTTCCTTCTTTGTAAAGCTTTTAACATCTCTTCTTATATTTTTTTTTGTCAATAATTCTTTTTTTTCTTTAGCTTCTTTATGTTTTTGTTTTAGCAGCTTTGCTTTCTGTTGAACTTGCATCTTTTTTATTTCCTTTCTAATTATATTTCCTTTTCTCTTCATGTTATTTTATTTTCATTAATTCTACTGATTCTTTAAAGTGCTGTAATAATAGTTCTAAAGTTATTTTATTATACTGCCTTTGTGATACTTTCTCTGTTTATCTAATCTTTTCATCTATTCTGTTTCTATTCTAGCTCTTGCGTACTCAGCAGCTATTCTTTCTTTATTACATGCAAACAGTCTTTCTCTTTTGCTACACATAGGTTTTTTATAATATTGGTTACTTTATCTAGTAGGATGTGTTCTGTTAGATCAATTTCTAACTGTATTGCCTCTTGATATAATATATTATTTCTTTTTTTAAGTGCAAGTTCTGTATATTTAATTTTTTTTTGCTCTATATTGTTTCAATTTTATATATATTGCTTCTATTCATTCCTCTGCTTATTCTGCTATTGTAGATTTTGTTTCAGTATTTTTTATTGTTTTTTGCTTCATATGACTGTTTTGTTGTTGTATTTGTATATTTGCTTTGTTCTCATCTGTTACGTATTTTTTAACATATTTTCTTTGTTTATTCTTCATTACATGTTGTGTATCTTGTGTGATAGTAACTAAGGCCAGACTAATTTAATTCTTTATTTAATATAACCCCCCTATTTTTAAAATTTATATGAACCCAATACTCATTAATAGTAATTAATAATATTTACTCCCTCAATTTTTTAAATTTTATATAACTAACACATGTTAAATCATCCAATAAAATTGCTGTTTTTTTTAATTTGTATATTTTTCACGCTCTCCCCCCATTCTTATAAACTATTTAATATTATGTTAAATGAAGTATCAATTTGGAGTAGCCTAATCTGCATTACAAGATCAAGATCAATCCCTTAAATGACTTACAAAGAGCAAAATTATTAATGATTTTTTAAGGTTTTCTACTATATCTTTGCTACTTCTGCTTTATTTACTTAAGTTTCTTAAGAGACTGAGTATTATTTTTAGCCTTCTTGCTTTTTCTTTAGAGCTGCAAGTCTTGTTTCTATAGCTGTTTGTGTGTTTCTGTTATTTTCTTGTTTTTGTATTTTTGTGTACAGAGGATTAGTGGGAAAAGTTGATTATATTAAGTTGTATTGGATTAAGTTTTAATTATTCTTTTATATTATATTTAATATTTGTTTTTCTTAGAGTATAGTGATTTAGTGAAGTTGCTAAGTTGTTATACTCCTAAGCAGCAGAACAAAAGTTCGAATTCTATTGGTAACAAAAATAAAATTTTACAGAATATATTATAGCAGACTGTATATAATCTGATAGATCATCAGATCTGTAGCTTTGGTTATATTAGCTTGTATTGAGAGGCTATAAAATATTTAATGTGATATATAAGTTATATAAAATCTAAGTAAAGCAGCCACACAGAAGCCTATTTAGCAAATCTCAAGTAATAAGATAATACAACTTTTAACAATACTATGTAAAAGATTATTAACTAAAGAACTAGAAACCAGACAGAATCAAGAAATTCAACAAGACACCATATCAATTAGGCCATCAGCATATTCTGAAAAAAGGAGTCTGCTCTTCTAGACTATTTGGATTGAGAGTTTGAAGAACTGAAGTAATAGTAGACAGTCCATATAGTGGATGCTGGGGTTTGGATGAACTTTACAAGAGCAGAAGTAGATAATGATAGTGGCTTCAGCTTGTAAGTACTTATTCTCAAACTTGGTATAAGTTACCGAAGTCTAGGTTAGCCAAATTGTGGATATAAAAAGCTCTAGCAATAATGTGTTAAGAATAAATTAATCCTAAAGCTATGATAAGCATTTGAGACTTTTTGACTAACAAATATAATGAAAATATCCCAGTGACACAAGAAGGTTACATTACAGAGTATTTAAATAGATAACTCTCTAGTTAGGTTATAAGTATAACAAATAGTATAGAATCTATAGTATATAGTTATCTATATACAGACTATTTAAATAAGTATCATATATTACTAAAATAAGCTACCTCTGATAATAAGCTACTTTTTTTTTTGGAAGAAAAACATAAAAACGTCTTATATCTGAAAATAAGCTACTATACAATTGTCAGTAGTTATTCTAGTGTTTGTACTCAGCCAAAAAAACATTACTCAGTTAACTGGCGAGTAAACCCACAGGTTACTCAGGTAATTAATAGATATACCCTAATATAAAATCATACTCGTTATACCCAAGTAAGTTGTCATGTGATTGGTTACATGAATTATTGTAGCAAATCAAATCTTACATTTGTTGGTGAATCTACCTGAGTGCTACTCAGGTGAATCTACCCATGTAGCTCAATTTCTAAAACACCTGATAAAAAATCTGCTAGTTAAGTTATTATTTCGGCATAATATATTCAATAAAATTACAAATTATATGTACTATACATATGTACATACGTACATACACATTAAATAATGCAGTAGCACATGATTATTAACCTGCATTACAAAAATTTTGCCAACTTTGTGTGCCAGTTCTGGTCAACGTTATTTACATAACAAAAATTACATAACAAAAATTTACATGCAAATCTCTACCCTATATATCGATATATCCCTATATCTCTACATATAGGGGTAAGTCAGTAGAAATGGGACAAATTTATTAAATAAATTTGTCCCATTTCTACTGACTCACCCCCATATATATAAAAGACATATGCATTATATGTAACACTTTTCTATGATAAAATTTTAGCATTATAAAATATCAGCATGTTCAATATTACTAAATTTGTTTAAATACTTGCTCAACATGTTTAGTACTATAGTGTGTTTAGTTTGTGCGAAAATTTATATATTTCAAATTACAATGTAATTTATATGTATATAACATAAATTGTAATTTATTGTTATATATCGATTATGCCAAAATCAATAACTTAACCAGATTGGCCAAAAAACCATTTAGCAAAATTTTATCAGGTGTTTTAGAAATAATGAAAACAGCTGTAACCAGTTAACTTGGGTAATACCCAACCTGAGTATAATCTCTATATATATTCAATAAAAGTATTTTTACCTAGGTATTATTTGGGTATACTTATTTGGGTAATACTTGGGTGTACCTATTCGGGTACTTTACAGAACTATGCTAATTTTTTTTTTATAATCTTAATATAGGCTTAAAGATAAAAATATTATTATTAAAATTATATTATAAAATAATTATAAGATAGTTATAAGATATTTTAAAATAATTTTAAGATTATTAATTTTAAAATAATAATAAGATAGTTATAAGATAGTTATAAGATAGTTATAAAATAATTATACAATTATTAATAGTTATAAGATAGTTATTTAATAGTTATAAGATAGTTATTTAATAGATATAAGATAATTATAAAATAATTATAAGATAGTAATAAAATAATAATATAATATAGAATTATAAAATAATTTTAAGAAAATTATAGATGGCGACCCATCGCCATGGCAACCCATATGATCGGCCAATCATATTCGAGATCGGCGATCATATATAAACAACCTATTTTTGATAATAATAGTTGTTTATTTTTTTTTATTGTGTTTTTTTTTGCTGGTTTGTATTTTGCTTTTTTTGCTGCTTTGCCGTTTGCTTTTTTTTCTTTGCTGCTTTGCCGTTTGCTTTTTTTGCTGCCTTGCTTTCTTTTGACGCTTTGCTTCTCTTTGCCACTTTGCTTCTCTTTACTGCTTTGCTTCTCTTTGCCGCCTTGCTTCTCTTTGCTGCTTTGCTTCTCTTTGCTGCTTTGCTTCTCTTTGCCGCTTTGCTTCTCTTTGCCGTTTGGTTCTTTCTTTTTTTCGCTCTTCTTTTTGTTTCGTTTTTTTTTATTCTTTAATTTTTTTTCTTCCCTCTTTCTACTCTTTCTTTTTCCTTCTTTTCCTACTTTTTTCTTCTTTTCTGATTTTTTTTTTCTTCATTTTTTTTGCCTTTTTTTTTTCCGCCTTTTTTTTTTTTTCTTTTTATCCCGCTTTTTTTTTTCTTCTACCCGTTTTTTACACTTTCTTTTTCCTTATCTTTTTTTTTCTTTTCCCTTTTCTTTTTTTTCTTCTTTCTCCACTTTTCGTTTCTATTTCTTTCGTTTCCACTTCCTTTCGTTTCTACTTCTTTTCATTTTCATTTCTTTTTGTTTCCATTTCTTTTTTTCGCTTTTTTTTTTTTTCCTCCGCTTTTTTTTCTTCTTTTTTTTCAAACTAACCACTTTTCTTTTCTATAAATTTTGCTTTCTCAGTCGTCCTTGGAATCGTCATTTTTTGAAGTCGTTGTTATTTGGATTGTCGTTCTTTGAAGTGGTCATTCTTGGGTTTTATGCTTCGCAAGTTTTTTTGCTTTACTTTACGGGTTTGTATTTTGGTTTTTTTTTTTTTTTTTCTTTCTGCTTTAAAACTAACAAATTTCTTTTTCTATTCATTTCTTTCTTTATTTCTGCTTTTTGTTTCTTTTTTGTTCGTTTTCTCTTCTTTGTTCCTTTTTTTTCTTATTTCTTTTCTTTTCCTTTGCTTTTTATTTCTTTCATTTTTTTTTGTCTTTTCTTTCGTTTTTTTTTCTTTCCCCTTTCATTTTATTTTTTCTTTCGTTATTTTTTTTCTTTTTTTTTCCTTATCATTTTTTTATTCTTCGTTTCTTTTTTTTGTTTTCTATTTCTTCCTCTTTCTTCTTTCGTTTCTTTTTCCTTGTTCTTTTTCCCTTTGTTTCTTTTCTTTTTCTTCTCTCTTTCATTTTCTTTTTTGTTTTTCAGTATTTTTCTTCGATTCTTTTTCTTTTTCTTTATTTTTTCTTTTTTATCTTTTCATTCCTCGTTTTCTTTTCTTCTCTATTCTTTCTTTATTTTTTCGTTTTTTTT